CTTAAAGCCCCAGGCACCGCAGGCAGTGGGAGGCAGCGTTTTGTGAAGAACATTAAGTTCATAACAATATTTCAGTGATAAATGATAAGAGAAAGTAAACACCTCTGACTTGTGCAACTGAAACGGAAGCAAATTCAGTGGCGGGATATTACTATCACCCACACCCCCCCTGCAAATGTTCTAAATGCTAGAAAGCAGTGGTTTCAATGAATCAATCATTTTGCCACAGTCTCCCTAAAGTATGCTTTTGCCATGCAACAGCTAATATGCCAATAATAAAAATCTGTTCCCCATAATTACATTAATTACGGAAACAAATAGAAACAACTATAATTAAGGTTTTGAGATTATTGCAGATAATCAAGTACCCAGACATGTGACACAAGGGGAAAATAGTAATTTAGTATGAAGCAAAATTGTTTGACATTTACAAGGTGATGTGATTTGGAAATAAAAGGCCCATCTTTTCATGGACCATGGTGCCATCTAGAGGACAATGGAAACAAAAGGCAAACCAGACACAACATGGACAATATCTGAAGGGTTATATTTTTAGATGAGGTTATTTGCTTTTGTGCTTATTTCAAATCTTGTGGATAGAAAAATGCACATTAATTGCTCCCTGGAAAAAGATAACGTTTTATATTTGTTAGGTTTTGCAGTAGATTCTACCCTGTGGAGCTTCATGGTATGGTGCCACCTACTGTTGGATCACCTAATATATGACTGGACTTAGGACACAATCTGAGCAGCTTTACTATCAATATAATCAAATTAAAGGTCGACTTTGCGGTTCAACAATACGTACAATAAGCCAGTGTGTTTGCGTGAGCATGCGTGTTTCAATGCTCTGCGTTCTCCACCTGATAAGAATGAAGAGGGGGGGGAAAGGTTATATTCATGTCATCCTTCACCTCACTGATGATTTGCAGCCAAAGGCCCCTCCCCTCGCAAGATTTACTGTACGTGGAATTTTTGCTGACATGGTACTCTTCAGCCGCTCCTCAGATATATGGCCAACCATAATTTGGAGGTGTAAAATGGGTATAAAACCTGTATTAATTATTTAATCGTGGCGCTACAGTAAGTGCTGCCTTTTAGCCCAGACGAGGATGTCATCCCCCTCTATTTCAGCAGGTCGTTATATCACTCATTTGTCACGGAAAAAAATTACAATCAGGACCAAGTATGTATAGTTTTATGGTAAATCAGGACAATCCCAGACTTTTTTATGACGGTAATTAACTGATAATTTTATTCATTTTTTACTTCATTTGATGTAAATGAACTGCTAATTGCATTTAAATGTGACGTCTTTAGCACTGGACCGAGTGGAAGGCCCAGCTGTGATAAATACCCAAAACTACTGCAAAGCTGCACACTGGAATTGAATAAAATTAGAGCCTTTTCCCACTAGTTTCCTTGAAAGTAAAAAAAAAAAAGAAGCCACTAGAAGCACACAGAATGGAAACGTCCACGGCGGGTAGCAGTGTGTGGGACCTGTGATATATCTTTGTGTCAGGGGGACAGTTAGGTACAAAGACTGAGGGGTGTGATCAACAACCAAACAAACAAGTTGTCCTGAGGTGAGGGCGAGGAGGTGTACACAGAGCATCCATCAAACTACATCTGTGAGAGCCTGATACTGTCCCGTTTACTCTCACTACTCTCTGCTCAGCTCCGCCTTGCAAATCTCAGATGTAGAATTTTAATTATGAGACTATTTATCAGTCATACAGTGCTAATTTCTGGTTGTTTGATGACACTGATGAGAGCACGAGGCCAAATGTATCGTACTAATGTTAAAGCTGTATTAAATAATATATGCATCACTGTAGCTTCCATTGATATCAATGCATTTCTTTGCTTTCAGTGAAAACTTGGCCTCTCATGAACCCACACTACTCAGTTTTGCACAACATATTCAGTTACACTCATATAGCTACTCTTTTAGAGGCCTTAAATGCACTTTGCAGTGATGGAAAAAGCACTACAGTAAAGAAACAATGCCATTGTTAAAATGTGTTTGAATTAATTGTAATTAAATACTATACTACAAGTAAAAGTCCATCATTTAAACCCTCAAATAAAAGTTGTTTTAAGCAGGCAGAATATCCCCTGTCTGTGTTATATACATTATGTCTTGTATTTATTATACTACTGGTTCTTTATTCCATAGATATTAGTGTGTTTGCCACATTTTAATAATGCATCTGACTAGATTGATGCTAAATTTGCTACTTTGTCTTATTTTACCAACTCCAACATTTTCCCACCTCCTCATACTATATATATAATAGTAATATCTACACTATATGTAGCTGTATAGCTGTCAGAATAATAATGGGGTGGAATATTACCTTCTTTATTGTTAGAAGACGTATAATATGGCATAAAGTGAAAGTACAAATGCTTCCATACTGTAATCTAGGAGCATTTGGACATTTGGTATTGCATATAAGGGACTAAATTCAAAAAGAAACTTTAAAAAAGAAACCCCAGTGCATCATTTACATTGTGAAAACATATGCTATGTTCTTCCTTTTCCTTATTAATTTATTATTTTTTAAAGCTTTGCATTCAATAGATAAAATTTAAGTATTGTCAGTGACAAAGCTCTGACAAGGTGTGGCCATCTGTGACCTGTCAGCTTCTGAAGCATTCTGGTATGCAGAGGGTTCATTGCATGACTGCAGAATGCATTCTAGGCCTTGTTTAGATCATAATTCTTACTAGTTCCAATACTTGCATTGAAAGGAAACTAAAAACAAGCATAACATTTGGACAATATATAAGACTATCTGCTCTACTTGAGCAGCAGTGGCTGGCACAGGCGTCACATAAGTGTAGCATTGTTCTTGCTGAACAGGCATCCACTGCCTGTTTATATATGGCTCTTTATTGTCAGCAGTACCATTAACGTCCTGAAATGGTCCAACAGGGTTCAATTTTCAAAGTGGAAGATGATTTTCACATGTTCACACGTAGCAAAAAATGTGTTATACTGCTTTCAATAAACATAAGCAGAAGGAAGGCTTAGCTCACACTTGTTTCATGTTCAAGTTCTACTGTAATTAACTCTAATTTAATTGTCTCGTGCACATGTTTATAAGATAGAGTTTAAAAAAAACAACTGATAGGGAAAAAAATCTGTGTTGTATTAGAAAAAATTATCAATTATCTCTAAGTAAATATAATAATTGCAGTCGAATAAAAGGAACAAAACACGGGCTGGCTCTTGAATTTGAACTATGGACCGATCATAAATACTCATCATTAACAGTGTCAGAAAAACATTACCCTTTTTATTGGGGCTGTATTTTCCTCACATACTACAATAAAGTTAATGACAGACATTGTCTAAACCATAAAACAGTCATATATTTTGAGATGCTGGTCAGCTTCAACAAGGCTCCGTAGCATCTGGCTCATAGATCATAATTGACCAATCAAGTATCTCCGTCAGAGAAGCTCTCATTTGAAAATACAGATGTATGTCTGGTTTTCACAATTACAGCTGAGATTCATTTTATTTTTAAAAAGCATTTTCATTCATTTCTGAGGATGTGGGTTGCAGAAATCGGAGCAATTTCTGCAAAAATTTGTAGGATGTATAATAGCACACTGAGAAAATAAAACATTAGACAGTTAACAATATGGGTGTCCAAAAGAACGTCTTATAACACAGCAAAGTAGCCCTGCAATGAATACAAACTTTGGTGACACTCTCTTGGATTATTGAGATTTCTGAGGTGTTTTTTTTCTCCATTTCATTGTCACTTTTTGAGGCCACAATAGTTTCTTGTGTTGTTTCCGTAAACAACATCCTGAGTCTATTTTAGTCAGTGATGCTGACAAGTGTGAGTTTAACATGAGATATATCTAAAGCTGCATTGCTGTGTTTGGCATTTGTCATCATAATTTAGAGTCTTACCCTGTTGCCCAAAGCCAAAAGTAGAATTTTGCAGCATTTACAACTGATGCACAGCATGCCTAGTACTATTTTATATATATATATAATAGCTGTGTCTCTGCAAGCTGCCTGATCTTGATTACTCACAAAAAAGTTTTTGTTCATGGTAAACAAATACATCTATTGTAGCCAGCTGCTGAAAATAGTTGATTTTGTGCATGGGATTATAACAATAGTTGTTGAAGAAAATCCCACTGACATGCGTAAGAGAAAGAATTGCATTAAGAAACAGGAACAATATGGCTCAGTTCATCCTTGTCGTGGTGACAGCAGCACACGTGGTGACTGAAAATCATGTGCAGTTTTGAGGCCTTCTTGTCTTGTACAGGGCCCTGTGTCAACATGTAGTTTTAAGAGCTTCACTGATTATTAATATTTCATTCTTTGCATTGTGTTTGTACGTCGCTCATGCTTACAGAAATGTAAATTGCGAAATAAAGTTGGATTTGTTCACATCCCCATAAACCAGGGCATGAGCAATGATTGCGGTGAGCACTTGTGCAAATGTAGGGTGGTAGGTGGGGGTCTAGTAACCACACTTTTTTTTGCCCAGTAAATAATCCATTCAGTCATATGTTATTTAAAGACATGACAATTTCAAATGTCACATATGCTACAGGGTGACATAAAACAATGGCCCTGAAGTTAAACCAGGTTCCTACACTTATATGGTGAACCACAGCGTGTGTATTTTCCATATTTTCCTGTTGGAAACCAACAATAAGTCTATTTAAAATCCAGTCTTCTGTTATAGTAGACACACAAATCTGCCTCAACAGTTCAGTGGCTGTATGAACATTTTAAACCTATTTAACCAGTAGATGGCGCAAATTATCATTGTTTTAATTGTATGAGGCGATGGCAATATATGCTTACTTTGTGTCTTTAATTACAAAAGATCTTTAACACATTTTTGCATAACTGTGTGAATGCATGAACCACAGAAGGAGCGCTGAGCTGTAGATCAGGTTCTGGTGATTTTATTCTGGACGGACTGATAACCAGCGGACTCTGTCATCACGTGACCACGTCAGCAGCCCTGCGCCCGTAGACATCTGCAAAATGGAGGTGAGCTGCTGTCAAATGTTGCAAACTAAATACGACTATGTGCAAAATGCAGAAACCTGCCGCTACTCTTTAGCATAGACGCAGCATTTGTGAGAGGATGCATTTTGATGTGTGGTAACGTGTGGCTCCTCTTGTAGCTCTGACGGAGCTCCAAAGGCAGCGCTGCTGTCGTTAGCTAGCGCTGCAGCTAAGCTAATGGCTGTCAGTATAACGGGAAGCTAACTCGGTGCTGTTTCGCAGTGTGTAGTATTTCGGTTTGCTTGTTAAATGGACATTGTCACTGCACTGTGTTTGACACAAAATGCTCGTCATAGCCACGAGTAGAAAGTGGGGAACTTAAAGGAAGCTAACGTTAGCTGCCAAAGCTAGCACCCTGGAGCTCAGGCCTACGCCTACTCAGGCCCAGCGGTTTTGTGCCACCAGTCCATTCGTAAAATTTACCAACATTTTATTTGTGTGTGCAATGTGTTTATGTGCCCGTCTCAGCATACACAATAATATGGTTTATTGTTATCCCTGTCTGTCGCCTCAGTGGTAAGGTGATAGCCTGGTGTCATGACTGTCGGTTAGATGTAGTAACAGATATCCTGTAGTAGCGTTTGTCCACTGCACGAACTCTAATGTTACGTAAGACCCTCCAGGACTGTACAGATGTTTTTGTGAAATATTTTGAATTGCTGGAATTTTGTTTGTTTGTAATCTTATAGGACCGTGAATCTAAAGAACCCGAGCAGCTCAGGAAGCTGTTCATTGGAGGCCTGAGCTTTGAAACCACGGAGGAGAGTTTACGGGCCCATTTTGAACAATGGGGAACTCTCACAGACTGTGTGGTTTGTACATTTTTTTATCATTATCTGTGGACGTTTTGTCTCAAGTACTGGTCACAACGACATAACCCATACACTTAAGCTCTTCTTCTCACCATTGTGTTGTTCCTAGGTGATGAGAGATCCCAACAGCAAGCGATCAAGAGGCTTCGGCTTTGTCACATACTCCTCTGTGAGGGAAGTCGATGATGCCATGAAAGCAAGGCCCCATAAAGTGGATGGCCGAGTTGTTGAGCCCAAGAGGGCCGTGTCCAGAGAGGTAAGTCCCACATTAAATAGCAGAAACTACAACAGTGTTTGGTCTTTGCTCACTGATGCTTTCTGCTGTAGGACTCCAATAAACCAGGCGCTCATCTGACGGTGAAAAAGATCTTCGTCGGTGGTATCAAGGAGGACACCGAGGAGTACCATATTCGGGAGTATTTTGAGAAGTATGGGAAGATCGAGTGCATCGACATCATGGAGGAACGCTCCACGGGGAAGAAGAGGGGATTCTGCTTCGTCTCCTTTGACGACCATGACACGGTCGACAAAATTGTCGGTATGCAGCTGTTTAGATTTCAGAGGTAACTAGACACTTGGCATACACAAAGCAATGAATGATAGTGTATTGTTTTTCCTTATAGCCCAGAAATTCCACACAATCAACTTCCACAATTGCGAAGTCAGGAAAGCTCTGTCTAAACAGGAAATGAGCGCTATATCCACTAACAGGGGTAAGCATGCCATTAAATGGAGCCTTACTATTATTGTGTGTGCTGTATGTTATCGACCATTCGCTGATGCCATAAACATAGTTAAAAAACACTTTTCTTTACATCAGGCAGGAGCGGAGGATCAGGAAATTTCATGGGCAGGGGTAGTAATTTTGGAGGCGGAGGCAACTTTGGCAGAGGTGCGTATTATTTTCACACGAGATGAAATCAAAGCGCTTTGGGCTTTGACCACACCAATGCAGGCACATTTCACAGTGATATTATTATAGTGCCATCCAGGCATCTGTTAATAGTGGACTGAAAGTGATGTTTTTGAATTTGGGGTAAAAACACAAGCAAAGGCAGGCTGGCTTTGGTTTCATTTTCAAGCGATTTATATGTTAATAGCATATATAGACAGTATACATCCCTGTGTAACGTTTTGATATCTATGCAGGATATATTTCTACTACTTTGCTGGCAGTGGCTTGGTCTCAAAGTCCACTGTGTAATTTAGCAAAAATATCAGCGCCACACACCCACTAACGTTTACATGCTTAAAGGAGTTTCTAGATAAAAGTATTGCATCATTTTTGTGCCTTTCAAAATTCAATCAATCACGTGTTATCTGACCATAACTGCCCGGTTAAACCAGTTACTCAACTCAGCCTTGGCAGGGTTATGTTACAGTCTGCTGCCTCCAGCGCTCTGTGAATGGTTTCTGGTTCAGTTTCAGCATTCTGTTGACAGACATGAGGGGCCTAAAAGAATGCTGATCGCAATCTAAAAAGTTACATAATAGTGGTAGTTTTGGGTTCGGGTTATTGTTATTGTGGGACTGAACTTTTGTAAATGTTCAAAAGCTGTACCTTAATAACGGCCCATCTAACTTGGTCCAATGTGCTGACATGCAAAATAAGTGTTAACAGAGTTGGAGGTGACAGGGGAGTGTAGTTTTAACACAGGTGCCATTCAGTAATACATTGTCAAATATGCATACTTTCAATGTTGAAAGTCATATCTCAGCATTTTCAAAATACTGTTTGTGGCCTCCACAACTTCAACACATGACAAGTATTTCAAATTTCCTCATTTTTGAATTGTACTTTTTTGAAAGCTTGATAATGGACAAAAGCCAATAACCAAAATAATGTTGAAGGATAAACCTGCATTGGGGGCTTAGTTTGCACTTATTTCACCCTCTTGTTTCTCAGGTGGCTATGGTGGAGGACGCGGCGGTTATGGAGATGATTTTGACAACGGTAAGCTGCCTTAAAATGTAAATTTTAAGAAGCTTAAACTGTAGTAAGTTGGACTGTTTTGGGATCATACGTCAGAGGGACCACCACTATGATTGTGTGGAAGTTAGAAAATTCTCTTGTCTTTTGAATGTGCTTCACAACACTGTCAAGGCATAACCACATGTTTCTATGTTGAATAAGGTTGTATGGTATGTTTGCATTGTTTTTACAGGACCCGGAGGGAATTATGGGGGAGGACCAGGCTATGGTGGCCGAGGTGGCTACGGAGGTGGTGGTCCAGGGTATGGCAACCAGGGTGGAGGATTTGGTGGCAACTGCGATGGAGGTTACGGAGGTAATGATGGAGGTAAGAGAAATATCATCTCAAAAATTTTGACTGCAAATTGAGCTCTGGTTGTAATGTATGTAGGAAATATGCAATATGAGACACCTGGAGTTAAGCTGTTTCTTAAAATCGTCTTCAGGATACGGAGGTGGTGGAAATTACAATGACTTTGGAAATTATGGTGGGCAGCAGTCCAACTATGGGCCCATGAAGGGAGGCAACTTTGGTGGCAGAAACTCAGGTGGACCCTATGGTGGTGAGTTTGGACCTCCAACTCTATGATGATACATCAAGGAACATTAAAACTTCTCCTGTGGAGTAACAAACATACTTTGTGGTGATTAATTCTTAACTGCAGGTGGCTACGGCTCTGGCGGCGGCGGCGGAGGTGGCTACGGCTCACGGCGATATTAATTATTTCATGTTTTGGTAAGTTGCTTTCAGTTTCGCACCACCCTCGTAGCACAGTACAGAGTGAGCCCATGAAAGTGCAGAATAACTATTTGTTCTATCCTGTATCCATTCAACAGGCTTCAGTTCTTAGCAGGAGAGGCGAGGAGGTGAGCAAAGGAATTGTCAGGAAAGCTGCAGGTTACTTTGAGGCAGTCATCTGAGAGCATTAGAGGAACACACAAGTCAGACATTACTGCAGCTAATCGGAGAAGTTTATGGAAGAAGGACTGTATACACAAGACATGAGTGCAGATGAATCCCCTCCCTAATTGTGATAGATGTTTCCCTACTGAGCAATTTTTCCTTTTGTGCGTCTGAAGTGTGTGTATTGTGCCTATGGTATCAGGGGTAAAGAGTAAATTGTTTTTTTATCTGAAGTCAGTTCTAAATATCTTTATTTTTCTTTTTTATATGGGTTAGTTTTCTGCTGGCCAATTAATCTTTTGTCTTTTAACCTGGTTTTTTTGTCAACTAGCATAGTTATATCAGGCCCGTAGACAAGCTAGAATTACATCATTTTTTCTTTCTGAAGTTATTATGATTGCTCAATTGCAAGTGTCAAGTGTATTTTGATTTTGTATGTAAAGCACAGTGTGTAAATCCTTCATAGTACCAGTGTCAACAATTATAAGCAGTCTGGATTAGAATTAAGGGAATCCCTCACTCTTTTTGTTCCCAACAAACCGAATTCTAGATTGTTCAAATATTTTGATTAGTAGAAAAAGACCGAATAAAATTGTGTAGTAAAGTAACATGAGGTTCAGTGCGTCATTGGTTCAGAAAAAAAAAAAAAAAAGATTAAATGAGTTATTCATGTAACTGTTGCCTGTTCATTGTGAAGTGTAGCAAATCAGCCTGTCCAGAACTTTCTGACCCTGGGGAGCATTATTTAAGACCTCTGTGGGTGGATATATATATATGTGTGTGTTGTGTGCATTTACTTCTACCAGGGTCTATTAAAAGGGAGTTGTGGGTAGTCCTAGGGAAGGGCCCATACACCACTTATACCAGTGTTGAGCGAGTAGGATTATGAAAGCCACAAGCACCTGCAGTTTGGCCCTCAGCATCGCTAGTGTGGAAGATTGCAGATGACTGTCAGACAGGACGTCTTCAGCCCCAGCACAGTGGACCAGTCAGCATTTTGAGAGAGAAGGGAGAAGGCAGCATCGAGCACAACGCCCATGGAGGAAGCTTGCAGTGTCGTGCCTGGTAGTGAGCATCTATCTCTCTTTCAAGGCTAGCTAAACCCTCCAGCAGCTGGTGCTAGCGAAGAAAGGCTAGGTCCTGGACACACTGGAGATCCTGTTGAGGCAGTTGTACCCGCAAAAAAAACAAAAAACACTAGATTTCAGACATTAACAAGAAAAGGGAGTGAACATTTCACAAAAGCTGACTTGAGAAGATGGAGCAGGTAAGAGTAACCACTTTGCTTGATTTACAGATGTGGAAAGAGGCATTCTCTTCTTGCTGAAAATCTGTAAAGACCTGATAACATGGAAGGTTCTGGATGGGTAAGACTTTTTTTGAAATATTATCCAAGGCTGCTCATATTGTAATCTAGTCGTGGACATAGTGATGATGCAAGGTGCAGGCAAAAGGGTGTTCTGAGGTCAACCGAGCAGGATGACATCCAGTATTCCTCCGCCACGGTCCCGCCTCCCACTGCTTGGTATGCCATGAGCTGAGAGTATTAATAAAGTTAATAAAAGTTTGTGTGACTTAGTGTGCACAGTCAGCCCGGTAATTACATTAGACAGTGATTAAAAACACACTTGGCCAAACAGGATCACCATACATTCCGAGAAAATACAAATATTTCCATTATTTATTATTCCATGTGTTACCTAACCGATTGTTCGGTTTCTAAAATGTTATATAACGGCTAACAATAGCTGCAAATACCTTATGCATGAAAATCCAAGATATTATTTTTCCTTTAATATATGGAGCAAATCTTCCTTTTTTGCTTTGAAAATTAACAATGAAGCCATTATCAAACTAGTTGCTCAGTAATGAGATATGAAAATGATATGAGTGTCATTCACTTGTTGGGTAAATAATTGATTAGTACTTTAAACTCTAGGTATCTTGATCATTAGACGATCAAAGGCTGTTTCTTGCTTCTAATCAGCACTTTCATGAGCAGGTTTTCAAAAACAAAGTTCCAAAGGGGTCACAACTTAGGTGCAAATTCCAGGATGGTCCTCAAAGTTCTAAAAGTTTGTTTAGCATATGAGATAATGGAGGAAATTTTGTGAAGTTTCCCTACAAGCGAGAGCCCCTGCTATCGCATCTGTCAGTATTTAAGGATGAAAGAATCGTCTTTATGAGAATATATTTACGGTTTGGATGATTTTGTAATTGTAAGATTTGTCCATGCCTATTATAACGTGTTATAATCTTTGATCAAATTGATATTTCTTCTAAGAATTCATGTATTTCGAGGCCACCCAGTATTAAAACCCAAAAACTCCCTGCTGCTTCCTTATCAGTTCTAGGATAGTATTTCTGCAGAGGAATGTAGACTGAGCACGCTCCGTGACTGCTCGGCAAAGGCACACCAGCGTCAATGAAGTATTTTGTTTTTGAAGCAAAATGTGTAAAGTGTGACTTGTGTTTTTAAATAAAAACTTTTTCCATGAGGTGAGTGTTTTATTTCTGAAAGGAACCTGACAGCAGTTTACCGAGCTGTAAATGTTTGACTTGTTGTGCAGTGTAAATGTTATCAGTGAGTTTTATTGTTTGATTTACTTTATTCCCCAGATGTCCTTGGGTTTGTTACCCTGCTCACAGATTTATATTCATTTATTTTTTTTTGCCCATGCAGAAAATGGGCTTGGCGATCAAAGGTGTATCGCCTGTGTGCAGAAGTGTGTGTAGAGGGCATACTGATTGCGTAGGCCTTTGCTTTTCAATATGCTTGCCGGGTGGACCATTGTGAATTTTTCATGCATGGTTTACACTGAGCATACTCTACTGTAGCTAAACAATTGTGCTCTTTGTTGTGTACCATAATGAATGCGGTGGGTGTGATTTCTTTTGCCAGGATTTTTACAGAATTAAAAGATTTAGGTTACTATACAAACAAGCTTGCTCTAACAAAACGCAAGCAGATTGTGAAAGTGGTTTAAACCTGTGACGCCTGTGTTGCAGTACAAGATTCCATTTGTTTGCTGTTTTGTAAGCCTTTGTAAGTCAAGCCTTCAAGTCAAGAACCGACTTGAACATGTGGTAAGTTATGTAACCATTCCTTAGACTATATATCCATCTGGCATCAATCTGTTGTGGGCTGTGGCCAGAGTACACCATATAATGTTCTGCTTTCACAAAACAGGAGGCCTTATAGCTATATGAATACTTTATTTAAAAGCACAGAAGTCAGGACTTTTTTTTTCTATTTTTTTTACAAAACTGGGCAGCAAATCATAAAGGGGAAAGTTATAAAACAAGTAATGATTGAAACAATCAATAGCATACAGAAATATGATATATACAATATATATATACACACATACAGTAACATTTTTATCAATCTTGAAAGCAAGTAATGCTCATATTTACAAACTATCGGTTATAGAATCTGTGAGGGTATCATAGTACAAAAGAAGTAAAATATCAAAAATATTACAACATTTAAGAGAAGTAAGCAAAAACTATACAATAGTTCTGCTGAGCTACTAATGCTTAAAGCTGAGTGACTACAAAGTTATTGCATAGTACACTATGATAATGCAGTACCATATTACAAAGAAGATAAGTGGTTCACTTCGCTCTTATAAGTCTTTTTAATGCGAGGAACAAGAAAGACGCTGCCATCCGTCGACTGCTGCAGGGAGTAGTCCGACGGGGAGTAGGAGTTCCCCTTCTCATCTCTCAGCATACCGAAGACCTCCAGGTACAAGCTGTTGAGCTGCCGCTTCATTTCCTTCAGGTCTGTGATGTTCTTGTTCCTCTCGCTCATCAGACGCTCTTTTTCTTCCTTCAGTGAGTCCAGGTCACCCTCCAGACCCACTATGTTCTCCATCTTGCGTTTGCGGCAGTTCTGGGCAGCCACCTTGTTCTTGCCCCGGCGGCGTATGTCACGGACCAGGGCCAGCTGGGCCTCGTTCAGTTGGTGCTTTGACATCAACTCAGTGAAGTCATCAACAGGCAGATTGATAATCGTGTCAATGGTGAAAGGGATTTTGAGGGCCTTAGCCCTCTGCTCGTCTCTGGAGAGACGCACATCAGAGCGTTTCTTCTGCTTGTCTTTGGTGAAGGGAGCACCGTCGTGACCACTCTCTTCTGCTGGGTCCACCTTGAGGTGTTTGTGTTTCTTTTCCTGCTGTTGTGACTGCCCAGTGAGCGCAGACACAGAACCTGCCTGCTCAAGATCATCAGGGTGGAAATTTAATGAAAACATCTCTGAGTAGTCAGATTCTACACTGCCAGGGTTGTGGTCCATCTCCTCCATCTCTGAATCGCTGCAACCATAGGACCCACTTCCGTATAGAGACTTCCCAGGTGAGCTAGAATTTGGACTTGCGTTTGCAGAAATGCCTGAATCTGAGTCTGGCAGATCTGCTGTCAAATTATGTTTGCCTCTGTCAAATGCATCTCCAGGTGAGAGACTGTAAAGGTCCATGGTTGTGAAGGGGGCCTTACTTGGGATATCAGACATGGTGGTGCTGTCATTTCCTTCAAGGCCATGGGGACCACCGCTCTCTTCCAGCATAGTGTTGGAATAAAATATGTCACAGAAAGGTTCTGCACTGAAGTTAGCATTTAACTGAGGGGCTTCCACCTTCATCTGGCTGAGATCATCTGATGGAGCCATACTGGGAACAGAGCCATCAAATGTATTTATAAACTCTGCAGGACGAACATTTAAACTGTTTGTATTCCCATCTGTGAGATTGGTCATGGGATAGAAAGAGTAGTTTGGATTCTGTACTTCAGGGCTGTTTTGAACAGGGTAAGTTGTGTTCTCCAGTGTGTCCTCCATCTGCATGTTCAAGCATTGCTGGAAGAAAACCCAGAAAATACAGAACCATTACTTTACATACAATCAACACAGAAATTGCAGGTCAATTACCAAACTTTGTTTTGTGTAAAATACAAGAACGGGAATGAAAATAAAAATGTCAGCATGTATGTATTAAGGTGAATACATGTGCAGTATGTGCTCCTATTTATGCCTACAGTGGTTTCTCAAATCTGTGAGACTGTGTAAAAATACATTATCATCCTATAAAAGCTAGAAAATGAGCCACCTTGGCACACCTTTAAAGTGGGATTACTGTTATTGTTATCATCTGACAACACTGCAACCTGGGACAAATGTGTTGAAATAAGTTTGACATGAAAAGACACAAGCCTAAACTTTAATCTTCACTAAACAGACTGGTGAGGCCTGGACCATTAAGCCAAGTTCCCATTGACTGGTATTTCACAAAGAAATGCTGGTTGAGCTGGTTGTAGCACAAGGTAGCCTTCTGTGATTTCCAAGGCTAGTTACACATCCAGCAGTTAAAATCTTCCAGCCTCCTGCTGCTGCATGACTTAACGACTAATTTATCTCAGTAGAACAGCTTTCAAGAACTGAACCCATATTTGACACAACTTTCATTTCTGAGTCTTATCAGCAGCCTGCCAGATCAAGTAATGCAATACTAGTTTATGATTAGGATTAGAGTCCACTCTACTCTGGCGACATAGTGAGAGGTCAAGGCAACGAGTGGCGCACTGCTCCACCCATCAGCTAATGCAAATATGAGGTCACATGAAAGCAAACTGATAAAGCAGCAACTGAAAAAAATACTCTGCACAAATACAAATATTCACCTTTCTGCTTGTAAGCAAAGGCTTTAAAGCTGCCGCACCCTCTCTGCACAAGATACTTTCTGGTTCTGCTGGATGAAGCTCGAGGTAATTAATTACATCAACCGCATCACACCTTGAACACCCACCTCTCTAATGCTTTAAAAGGTCTCAACAATGAAGTCTAATCACAGCTGAATGAGCTGCATGCACCCATCTCACATATATGAGACTCCACTCTCATGGGGCAAACAAAACAGTGTTTGTCCTCTAATGCCGGGTTCCTGCGGTTCATGCATTCTTTGGGTATTTGTTCCACAACACACGCCACCATGCCATTGAGGTGGCAGAATCCATGTATTGTACCTGCAGCTCAGGGAGGGACAAAAGCTCCATCAAGGTCTGCTCCAAGTCCGGAGACATCCTCTGGGGTGATGGCAGATGACCCGGGGAGAGGGAGGCTGGCGATAAAGCTGGCTGCTCAGGGGACATCATCATGCTGCTGCTGATGGGTACTGAAACGGCAGGTGTGTCCAGGCAAACTGCAGCATTCTGTAACGAAAAGAATATGAATAGTAGTTCTACACAAGTAAAAGTCATGTTAAAAACTGTTCATTTGTGGTAATAATTTAGCCAATATTCTTACCTCAGTTTCCTCTACAGGAAATGTTTCTGCCAGTAGCTGCAGACATTCGTCAAATGACATTGCATCACCATTCTCCTCTGTGAAGCTCACATTCTGCAACAGAAGTTAAAGCACTTGCTGTTAAATTTATCACCTAGCATCCTTTGTGGCACAACTTTGAAAACAGCACATGATTTTTATAGTGCTTAGGTCTCTATAGAGTAGTTTCTGGAGCAGAGTACACCGATGCAAAACTACACAGCCACCTGTGTTTCTGTAATTATACAGGATGAGGTGGTTACCTAGCTACTACACAACCAGAGCCTATCAAAAGAAGTGGGAGTGGTCCACGTTTGACATGACTAATGATGGCATGTGTATGTACCTGTGTAACCTCTAGAGGTGTGACAGCCGACTGCAGTGGCGTGCTGGGTGGTGGACGAGGTATGTACTCTCCCGTCTCCTCGTCTAGCTGTAGCTGTGCCAGCAGGGCCTTCTCCTGCTCCCGGAGCAAATGCAGCCTCTTCTCCTCCTCCAGCTCCTGCTGCCTCCGCAGCTCATGCTCTTTCTGACGGTGGTTGTAGTCAAACACCTCACGCCTGGCACCGAGATCAATGTCCTGCTTCCACAGTATGTCAATCAGGTCCATGTCCTGGAAAAGAGAACCGCAGATCCGTTTAGAGAGTTGTGAGCAGCCATGCTGTCCTGCAGTGAAAATATGATCAGCATTGGAACAAGGAGGAAAGTCCCTGCTGTGAAGCGTGGCTGTTGCACCTGCCACACCCTGTCCCTCAGTATCCGTGCACCGGCAACAACACTGGCACTAATGTCAAGGGGGAGAAGCCACATGAATAATGAATGCACGTCTCTCTTTCCCTTGTTGCCACCTCACACCAACAGAAGACACGTATCCTCATCTGATACTCTTTCCAAGGAAGTGGTCATTACCCATCCAATTACACTGAGGTGTGAATACGTTTGTCACATTCAAACTCACACACAGTCAGGTGTTTTCACAAAACGCTTTTATGTTCACTTTGAAATGATCATTTAGTTGTTAATTAGTTGACAAAAATCGCACTTGTGTTTTGTAGCATATAAACATCAGGTCACTGGAAGGTGCATGTTCAGATAGTTTGAGAGAACACAGCATCATGATGGTTAGAGAGCCTGTTATATAACATGTAAGAGCGTATACCAGAAATATTATAAAAGCAA